ATGAAATTAACCCAAAGATTATAAGCAACATAGTCGGTCATCCTCACCTTAATTAAGCTTAAGCGCGTTCTACGCTTCTCGATTGAACTTTGACTAATTTCGGCGAATTTTGACCAACTCCGGCGAACTTTGACCAACTCCGGCGAACTTTGACCAACTCCGACGAAACTCCGGCGAAGCTCAAAAATACTTTAAATCAAGTTCCTAACAAGGTTTTATCATCACAAAACCCATATCAACACAAATAACCTATAAAAGGTTATTTTCCGGCAAACCGGTCGATTTGGCTTCTAAGTCCATTCTTGGACATAGAACCACTTTCCAACCCATAAATCCATACTTAGAGCATGAAGACCCATCCCAAGGGTTCTTCATATAATAAATATTTATCATGGTAGAAGAAGAATAAAGGGAAATCTATGGCAAGGTGATTACCTCAATTTCCACACTTTCCTACACCTTTTTCCTTCTCCAAACACTCCTCCTTGGATCCTCCACCTTGAGCTCGAATTTGGGTGTGAAAATGGTGAGTTTCAGAGCTCCTCCTTGCTATCCTTGGGTGTTGCCACGAGTGGGTGAAGGTGGTGAGGTGAGAGAGGTGGTTTTTGTCTCATTTAGACAAATGAGTGAAGGGATGGGGTATACTAAGTGTGAAGGGTGTCTCCCCCATCCTATCAATTGTTATTCAGCCAACTTAGCACCCATCCAGCCCCCAAGGGTTGACAAATTCGTGGGGTGGCCCCCACCCATGTGGGAGGTCATCCTACTTTGTCCCAAAGTGTACAATTTGCCCCGAAAGTTGTATTTTCCGGACTGTTTTAGATATATTTTATCTTATCGGGTTAAATAAATATATTACGTGTTCTTAATCATTATACCATTTAGAATGGATATGCATTCCCCAACTTTAATTTATAAGTCTCCAAAATCCAATTTCGGGCTTTTATCTGATAAATTTATCGATACCGGTATTTGGGCCTCTATTGACCAATCGGTTAACTCTGGGCCTTTCCATGGCCCAAATGAAGTATCCACCGTCTATAAATATTTTCTAGACCCAGATGAATATAATATGTGGTCCCGATAATGTCGGGCGGTCCCCACTCCCGATGTGGGCCCCACGTGCATTTTACTATTCACGCGAAAAAAATTAATACAAATTCACAACCTCGTAAATTCACAAAAATTTCATAGGGTTCAATAAATTATTCGCTTAAAGATAAATACATTTGGGGACGGTGTTACACTGAGTCCCCCAGTGTTGCCCCCCACAATTAGGTGGATGTGGTTCTTCTTCAGAGGGGGCTCCTCAAAGTCTTCGTCATCATCGTTGAGTCTTCCAATCTCACGCTTCTTCGTAGAAGGTTCACCCTCAGTTTTGCCGGTGTTTACCCACGTATTTTTGTGTGGGCCACCTTTAACAAATTGGGAGAGTTCCCCCTGGCGAATTAGCTTCTCGATGGCTCTCTTCAGCGTGACGCAGTCGTCTGTGTTGTGGGAGGTGTTCCTATGGTAACGACAGTAAGTACCGCCTTAATGGACGGCGTAGATTTTCTTCGCCGACCGAGGATCCTGTTCAATGAGATCATGTTCCTCGGCATAATCGAGGATGGAGATGACCGAATGAGTGAGGAGGGTCTTCGGCCTTTCCATCCTCGGCTGCCATGGGCGGTCCTTCTTGTTCTGTCCGCCAGACCCATGGCGGCTTTGTCCTCCTTGACCTCGGTCCCCGGCCGAGGGTGCGCCCGGAGCCAGTGCAGTGTTCGTCTTCTTGGAGGGGTGCCCTCCGTCCTTCTTGTGGTTGTGGTGCTCATCGGCGTCAGCGTATAAGTTCCCTCGCTGGAGCGCCTTCGTACAGGACCTTGGAGGGCCAGTGATGAGACTCCTTGCATATGGGGTGCTGCGGAGGGCGCCCTGGAAAAGGACAAGGAGGGTGTGCTCATCGCCCCCTCGACCTCATCGGTCTCCCTCATCCATCGGTCGATGAATGACCAGAGTGATTTGTCGTGTTGCTGCTTGACGAAGAGAAGATGGGTGAAATATTTCTTCGCGCGCTTCCTCTTGGCAAAATGGGTGAGGAAGCGTTGGGCAAGATCCTGCCACGAGTCTATGCTTCCTTCGGGGAACGCGTTGAACCATTCGTACGCTGGCCCTTCCAGAGTGGAAAGGAACAAACAACAGAGGTATTCGTCCGACGCGTTCACCATCAGCATGTTGTTCTGATAGCGACTGAAGTGCTCTTGAGGGTTAGAGCGGCCGTCATAGGGCTTGATGGCGTTTCCCCTGTACTTCTCGGGGATAGGGGCCGAGAGTACCCTAGCAGTGAAGGGAGTCCTCATCCTGACTTGGACGATGGGGTTTCCTCGTCCCTCGGCCAGCTCCCTCTCCAGGGCGTTGACCTGATGCATGAGCGCGTTGTAACCAGGATCCTCGGAAGTGTTGGCCGTAGGGATGGTGGCCGATTGTCTGGCCTCCATCTGGGCCAGCCTCCTTTCCAGCTGGGCGATGACCTCGTCCTGAGGGTCCTTGGCGGCCATAGTGGCGCCTTGCTGATTGCGCACGCGAGCTTCGTGAGCCGTGTTGATTCGATGGCACACATCGTCCATGTGCAACTTGGGTTTGCCTTTATCCAGGCGGGGCCGATCCGCTGTCCGGGATACAGACCCCAAGCTTTCTCTCGGTGAGCCAGGCTCACGCTCACCAATCTGTCCCGCCATCCTCTCCAAAGCAGGCCGACGACACATGTCACCTAGCCTATTGAAGGCTGAAGTTTTTCCACACGCTGGGGTCAGTCCAGCTCGAAGTGGGGAAGCAGGATGGGCGTGGGACGACGACGTGTCCTGGGGCACCACCCCTTTGTCGTTGCCTAGCTTGATGGCCAACGGCAGGGGCTGAGGAGGCGGTGTAGTGTTCTCCCCAGTCCTTGGCATGAGTGCACTAAGGACGGTGAGCTTCTGGGCCAGGCTGGTGATGATAGACGAGAGTGCGGCCTGGAGCTGAGGGTCAACGGCAGGAGAAGCGGGCTGCCCTGAGGCATTATCGCCCTTCTCCAGGCGCTTCTTCTCCAGGGCGATGTGGGCATCAGGGACACCGCCGTTGAGCTGATGGCGAAGGTCATTCGTGAGGTCGATGGCCTCCTGGAAAACATCCCCACCCGCGCCCTTGTTGACCGTAGCGTCCTCCTCATGTTCCCTGTCCTCTTGGGCCTCAGGGATTGTTTGCCGAGGAGGTTACGGTTGGACTTAGTTCTTCCCATGATCAGTTAGCTGTGCTTGGTAGTGACGAAGGAGGCTAACTTGATTGTTCTAGCTCTCAACAAGAGCACCAAATGATGGAGTATTAACTCCTAGAGAGAAGTGCTATAAATGCTTGATATTAATGATTTGTGAACCCCCTACAACTACTCCCAAGAGGAGTATTTATAGAGGAAATTAGGGCTGGGCTCCCAAGTATTGAGCTTGAGAGGCCCATTTACAATTGGGCCACTATTGGGCTGAGTACAAAATATGTAGAAGTAATTTAGTGTGAAGTCCGATTCTGGGAGCTCTCTGTGGCCGACGGAGCCATGGCCGATGGAGACCCGACCGACGGGGACACCCGGTTCTCCTGGCTTCTAGACCATATTCTTGGTTGGTATCTTTTTGGCCGATGGGGGGCTATCTGGCCGACGGATGCCTCACTGGGCGACAATTGTGCCTTTCATTCTTCTGAGTATGTGGATCCTGGGGTCTAGACCCATATACTCCATCACTTGATCAATGACAATCAACTTTGACTAATGATATTTTTTAATACAAAATTATTTAGAGTATGAAAATCATATCAAAATGTCCCTTATTCAAAATATTTTTATGAAAGTATAAAACTTATAAATTCTATACAGATATAATAATTAAAATCATTGTCCAAAATTCACCATCATTGACCAAGAAAAGTCAATATGACGAACTTTTTCGGGTCGGAGGTAGTACGCACGTCTTGTTTATTTAAAAAGGTGAAATTGTGTGATTGATATTAAATTAATGAATTGTAAACAAAGTAAGAGTGAATTATAGTTGTTAGGGATAAGGGTCAGATAGGGTCTCGAACTTACAAAAAATGTCAAATAAGGTCATATATAGGATGCTATGTACGTCTGACGCCATTTGGGGTGGTTTCCGATTAAATTTTTCGATGAATTTTTTTGAACATCTTATTCAGTAAGTCTAGCTTACTTATATCAAATTTGAACTAAAAATTCAATCGAGAAGGCATTCAAATGAATTCTTGAAAATAACTGCGTAGTTGAAAGCTTTTTTGAATAAAATAAAAAATTCAAAAACTTTTTTTTAAATAATTTTATTTTTATAAAATTAATAAAAAATAGTAAAACTCCGTAAAAATATTTAAAAAAATATGGATGCCTTTCCTACCACCTGTACTACCTCCCAGCACCACCACCTCCGGCCGATGAAAAAAATGCCATTTTTTCTGAAAATGCCAAAAAAGTGGCATATTTCTCTTTTCGAATGCCAACATTTTCATTTTTTCTGCCATTTTTTTCTAGGCATTCGTAATGAACTTGGCATTTTTTCCCCTGATGACTGGAGGTGGTGGTGCTGAGGCGGCAGAGGCGGCGGCGAATTTTTTTTTTGAGTTTTTATTTTTTTTAATTTTTTTTAATTTTTTTAATTTTTTGAAAAAAAAAATTAATTAAATATTTAATATCGAAATGTTTTTCTTAATTTTTTAGTATTTTTTATTATTTTTTGTTATTTTATTAGGAATTAAAATATTTTAATAGCTATAAGGGTATAATTGTCCAAGGTACACATAATTAATCCTATACTTTTTTGTTTTTGTTTTTGTTTTTGTTATTTTTTGGTCCTATTTATGAAAAGTGAATGACTTTTAGTCTGATAATTAACTCTTTTTTGTAAATTTGAGGCCGATCCCTAGTTGTTAAAATTTTATCAAATATTGTACCATACAAAATTAAATGGGCAGACAAACAAGATAAAACCAGACAAAGATTCCCGAAAGGAGGTAATAGTATATATCCGGCCACCCTCCCTAGACGAGTTTTTTCAGTATTTAAGGTGGCCGAGGACTGCTGGGTTAAGGAGGCTAGAAACTGGTGCTTTTAATCAACAAATAAACTATTCATGGAGGTAATGCAACAATTTAACGGCGAGGTCGCCGGGGGCAGACAAATGGAGTCTTCGTTCTTGGCGGACGTGCCGGCAGCGTGGCGGCCGGGTGATGAGGAGGTCACGACAGTTGTCGATAATAATGTACTCGTCGCCGAAGTAGTGAATAACGGTGAGCACAAAACTGAAGCGCCGATGATGAATTATGGAAGTGCAGTTGAAGAAGAAGAAGAAGGAAGGGTGGTCTTCAATGGCGAAACAAGATCTCACAAACTACCGTTCGTTTATCCTGACCATGATGGAGGAGGTATGTCACGACAATTCACTTTTCAGGTTGCTCGTCCGCCTTCCATCATTAATATCTTTCATTTCTTTTCAGCACTAAAAAATTATTGGTATGAATTTGAAAAATTAAAATGAGTGGATTTTAATAATATATTTCAAAATTTAAATTATAATACATCAATAAATAAAAAGCACTAAAAGTAGAATATGTGAATAATGCAAAATGTCTCAATTTTTCAACTAAAAAAGAACGGAGGTTAATTTATTTTCCTGTATATATATAAGTTTTGAGTTTTGACTAAAGTTACGGAGTATTATAATATATATTAAAAGTATAAAAAATTTCAGTCATTTATTACTTACTCTCTTCTACTCCTATAATTGTTCTATTTTTCCATTTTTAGATGTCCCCCTATTATTATCACATACCATATTTGATAATATTTGTGTGACTCTAATTCATTCTTACTTTAGTCTCACTTTATCAACTCATTATCAACCACATAATTCTATTTTTCTTAAAAACCACACTACTCCCTTCCGTACCAATATTAGGGGACGGAGGGAGTATATTTTAGTTAATATATTAGTATTTGTATTCTCCCCGTCTCAATTTGATTAAGTTTTTCATTTATCTCACTTGGACATTTTAACTAAATATTTTCATGTCTATTTTACAAATAAATTAACATTCTTAATTGATATCTTGAACATCAAATAATAAAAATGATACATTTATAAAATCACAATTATCAATCTCATTTTTTAATTCCAACATTTCGGGGAAAGTTCCCGAAATAGGACTAAAACAGTTTCAAAATTCAAAAATAGGATTGTCATGTTTTTTTTTTCCTAAAGTAGGACTAATTACTGCCTTGTTTAGAAAATACTGCCATGTTTGAAGTATGGTACTGCCAAAACATGATAGTAATTAGTCCTATTTTGGGAATAAAAACATGTCAGTCCTATTTTAGAATTTTCAAACTGTTTTAATCCTATTTTAGAAATAAAAACATGGCAGTCTTATTTTAGAATTTTCAAACTGTTTTAGTCCTATTTTGGATAATATCTCTTTTAGTACTTTTTATTTATTGAAAGGTGGACAGATAATTTTGACTCGGGAGGAACACACTCTTAAATTTGGGCAGGTAGGGCGGTAGGCCATGATGATGACCTATTCCATTGAATCCAAAACTCAATACATCTTCTTTTACATCTAAATGTAGTACTTTACATCTACTTTTATCCAAATTAGGCTTCCCGTGCATGATTCGAACTTTTACTTTTTTGAGCAAGTGTTTGCTTTTATTGCACTTTGGCTTTTTACTTTTGGAAAATAATACTCCCTCCGTTCCTAAATAAACTTCCAATTTCCCTTTTTAGTCCGTTCCAATTAAAACTTCCACTTTCCCTTTTTGATAAAGAATTTGTGGTTCACAACATTTCTTACACATTTCTCTCTCCTCTGCACAACTCTCCACCACATAATATCCACTATCTTAAGAATTTGTGCCAAATCCATTTGTAAGTTGAAATGGGAACGAAGGTAGTAACAACTTGATGTACATCTTCTTATACACATCAGTACATCCCGTGTTTGTGAGAACTTTTTTTTCTATGAATATCAGTTCACAGACAAAAACTGGTTTGTTTTGTTTGTGAAAAATTCTACAGACATAACAAGTCACTTTTTGTCTGTGGGCTGCGATTCACAAACAAAAACACGGGGTGTACTAATGTGTATAAAAAAGTGTACAAAAGGAATTTTTGAAATAATAACAATAAAAACTTGTGTGATACAAATCTATAAAGCTCGAGAAGAAAACAATGAAACATGAATCATAACCGGTGGGCGTAGTTCAACTGGTAGCAAGGGAGTACCACAAGGGTTAGGTTCCAGGTTCGAATCCCGACAACTGCGATGAGGGGTTACTATGCTAAAAATTATAGGGCCTCTGCAGGTATCGGGGACAGAGCCCCACTCTCTATCCGTCAGATTGAGATTATAGTCCAATTTACATCCTCCCAACGTACCGTCCGGTCGAGGTTGGGGGGCCCTCAGGGATGGAGTGTCATCTTTTTTTATGAAACATGAATCACAAAATTGTGAGCGGGTGGCAGTGCTGAAAGGTGGCTGAGGGATGGCGGTGCTAGAAGGTGGTTGAGGGGTGGTTGAGGTCGGAATATTTTTTATTTATTTTTTACAATTTTTATTTTATTTTTATTTTTTTGTGTTTTATACGTAGTAATGATTGAAAAAATCCTATTAGAAAGGACAAGGGAAATGATAGAATAGGAAGAGTGAGTCATATTTTGTGAATTTAAACTTGAAACTCCTATTGTTGCAATTATCCTTTTATTTAGTCCTATTTATGGAAATCTCCCGTTATTTTAAAACTTGTTTACTTACTCATTTTTCAAGAACTTTCCTCTATATTTATCAACCAGCCTAGTTTGGTCTACGCGCATGCATACTCGTGTTGTCTTTACTAGATTCTCCCCCGTGCGATGCACTGGACAGATTAAGTAATTGTTATAGCATATTATTTGTTAAAATTATTTTGTTAATGTGAGAACGAATGCAAAGAATATAGATGTAATACATACACAAAATTTTATATATGGAAGATCTAGTTACGACTCATAATTGGTAGAAATTTCTTTTTGGAATAATAAGAAAGATTGATAGTATTACAAAGACGTTTACACATTTATAGTATGGTCAATTTCAGAATTACACTAAAAAGTTTATAGAGTCGCAAAAAACTCAAATGTGATAAAAGTTAGATATATAAAGTAAAAGATTAAAATCAATTTACTTTACCTGGAGAATAGTGGACGTGATCCTTTATTTGGAATGTAGGTGGTACATGATAACAAATAATTTAATAATTATAATAGCAATAATATAATTATAGTCTGTACTATTAGCTAATATTGTGTGATCTGTACTATTAGCTAATATTGGATCTAATTATTTATTTTTCAAAGGCCAATACAGTTTTTTGTGTTCATAAAATGAACTGAATTTGAATATCATAATTCACTCGTACATATTCTCTGATATGTAGTGTGATTGAAGCATTTGAAGAAGATTGGATTTGTTAGTCAATATATACATACATGCTACATTCGATGATATAAATAAGGTAGATTCTATGATACCCTTAAGATATCATACATTTGTCTACATTGACCAATCAGAATGATGTAGTTGAATTATTTAAATCTAAATTAAAAATGATGTAATGATTTGAACCAATCAAGTGAGTGGTAGGTACGGTACCTCATTTTTTAAAATGGGTACCGGAGTTGTCACCACTTAAATAATCCTAAATTCCTGACCAATACTAGTCTCAGACCATGTTTTAAACATGAATGTATTTGACAATGTGATATAAATAAACCGAATGTTAAACTCTCTTCTGGAAAAATGTCTATTCTTAATTATTATTAACATCTATTTGATACATTCATACATATATAATATTAAATCCTAAAATAAGCTTGTTTAAGAATGCATGGTGAATATAGATATACATATATTACTGGATATGAACTTTGAAACATGAAAGTTTATACAACAACAACAACATCCAAGCCTTAATCCCAAAAGAATTTGAGGTCGGCTAACATGAATCGATCTATGATATCGATGCCAAAAGAGAAGGCGGACAAGAAAAGGAAAAAAAGTAAGATAAAATGAATAAAATAAAGATACATAAATTTAAGATAACAATAACACAAGAATATAACCAAGATAAAAGAAAAATAAATAAAAGAGCATAAAAAGCTAGGAGATAAAAATAACATAAGAATATAAAAAGATAAGGAAGATAAACGATAAAAGAAACAAGAGAGGAAATGTAGACAAGACATCAATCGTCCACATGAATGTGCGCCCTCCACTTTGCTCTCTCCAAAGCCATACTCTCATCTAACCCAAGAAGACGCATATCAGTTCTGATTACTCTAATCCAAGTCTGTTTGGGTTTCCCCTCCCTCTCTTCTCCGACTCTTCTCCCCACCCCTCAAGTCGTCTAACAGGTGCATCACTCGGTCTTCTATGCACATGCCCAAACCACCGCAAATGAGACTCCTGTATCTTATCTTCTATAGGTGCTACTCCCACCTTTTGTCTGATTACCTCATTCCTCAGGTGGTCTTTTCTGATATGTCCACACATCCAACGCAACATACGCATCTCTGTCAACTCATCTTTTGAATGTGGCATTGCTTCACCGCCCAACACTCTACGCCATACATTAATGACGGTCTAATTGCTGTACGATAAAATTTACCTTTCAGTTTAGTCGGCATACCTCGATCGCATAGAAATCCTGAAGCACTTTTCCATTTCATCCACCCAGCTCTGATTCTATGACATACATCTCCATCTAATTCACCATCCTTCTGAATTATGGATCCCAAGTAACGGAACATATCACACACCGGTATCTCCTTACCATCAAGAGTAATCCCACTGTTGCTACTGCTTCTACCTCCACCGAACTTGCACTCCATATACTCAGTCTTGCTTTAACTCAGTAATGATTAATATTTTTGAAGTAATGATTTATCTACTAATCTTTAAATGTATCTGTGTATTCCTAATTATGCTCTTTTTTTCTGCCCGGAATTCTCCCCCACTTCTGTGTTTGTTCTTCTTCCTAGCAGAGTAGCAGCCTGTGTTTTTATCCAGGTTTTGGCACCACTTTTTGATGAATCCAAAGGACTATTGTAGCAAACACTTTTTAAAGTATTTACTTTTTTAAACGTATTGATTATGTACATAGACAGAATAAAGGACGTTAAAATGTGTACAAAAAGATATTTTCTAAATTTATACGGCATATAGAGTGACAGGGAGTGATGGAGTTCAACAAATTAAAGCAACAATAATGCGTACGTGGAGTACTTGAATTCTATAATAAATTATGAGGGCGTTCTTAAAGTATTATCCAAAGTAAATTCATAAATGAATACTAGTATTTGACGAAAGTCACTATGAATATAATTAAC